AAATGATTCCTATGGCTTTGTTAACCCATCCAGTTGCTCTTGCCATTCTCCCCAACTTCCTGATTGATAAATTGCTTAAATGAGGGACTGAAAATAGATTAATGCTGAAACAATAAATTGCTGTTACATACCCAAAGAAACGGTCCAAAAATCCTCTAATACAATTGCACTTTTGCCTTTACTCATTCTGGGGTGATTTCGTTTGCATTCACATTTGACGTATAGCTAAATTTTTCACATTGATAAAGAGCTGCATATTTTTTTGAGAATGCTTGTAGGAAGACAGTAAAATATATAACCCCTCTCCCCGACTCTACTTGAATCATTTTGAAGAATTTTTACATACATATTTGTGAACTCTGTATAATGTAAACTATATTTAGTGGTCAGTTATATTTGGTCATCTTGACTGCATAGTGAAGAGCCTCTGATATGTGCTTATTTGGTTCATATTGGTTGTTGATCATTGGAGGGACCAGTATTAGCAGTTTCAGGGCTCGCTCACTCCAGGTTTGTTGGAACTGTGCTTGGCGGCCTTGTGCACAGTCCCTTGCAGGTCAAGGCAACAAGCCTTGTTACCTAGGAGGCCAGTTCACACCAACGCATTGTGTGTGCTGAAAAAAAAAGACAAGCATAGAGTACTTTTTTTCAACTAAGCATCGTGCAACACAATGCACCACATCGCACCTAACTGTGGCCAATAGAACTGAATGAAATGTGACATTTCAAAAACGTTCTAACCAGGATTGGTGCATCGCCATTGTTTCCTTCCAGTACACACCAGCAGCCACGCATTCAGCACAGCTGCTGGTGTGAACGAGCCCCTAAACATATACAACTTTGTGAGGTAGTATCTTCTTGTTTTACTTTTCCAGCTCTCTTTTCTTTATCATTGATGAAAACAGTTTTCTCTCGTTTCGTCTAATAAATGTAACTTTTGTACAACATATCTGAATACTTGTTCCCTATTAGGAATGAAACACAAATAGTTGTAGTTATTATTATTTTAGACACTCATTCTTACAGAATGCTAGATAACAGATATATAATTAGTGTGTAACCACTACTTTTGATGTATGTAACAATGATTTTAGATTAGTATTTGCACAGACAAAAGGCTGTCTTCTGTTCTGGCTATGACAGCTAGTAAGAAGGAATGATACAGGAGCATTGCAGAGCAATGTCATTTCACAATGTCATGTATGACTGTGGCATGTCTGTGATTCCTGAAATATTTGGCAAAATTAACATTTTTATCAGCTCAGTTCATCGCTTCCACTTTAACTGCCATGTTGAGAACTGTTAGGCCCCTTTCACATGGTCGGTTTGTTGCAACCTCTGGATTCCTGCAGCAAGATACTGTGGATGTCCAGACAGCAAAAACTCTACCCAGGCTTAGGCCTATTTCACATGACCGGTCTTTGTGGCCTCTGGATTCCTTTGGCAAAAAATCTGTGGATTCTTGCTGCAGGAATGACCGGGTTATGCGACCAGCATTGGCCGCTCAGCCCATTTAAACTAACGGCGGGCTGACAGCAGCCGCTGCTGATCGTATGTTGCCACACACAGAGCGATTAGCTGTGGTTCCGGAACAGATGACCAAGCCTGGATGCCTCTGACTGTGTCCAGGCTCAGACATATCTCCCGGAGCTGCAGCTAATAGCTCTGTATGTGGTTAAATGCGATCAGCAGTGGCCGCTGTCAGCCCGCCATTAGTTTAAATGGGCTGAGTGGCCAATTCTGATCACATAACTAAGCCATTCCTGCAGCAAGAATCCACAGATTTCTTGCTTCAGAAGTCCAGAGGTCACAAAGACCGGCCATGAGAAAGAGGCCTAAGCCTGGGTAGAGTTTTTGCTGTCTGGACAAAGGAGCATAAAAGATTTTTTTGAAAGTAAACCTGTCAGTAAGAAAATGTATCTAACTGGCATAAATGTTTAATAGCAGTTCTCACAAATACAGTATTTGCACAAACAGCAGCCTTGCCAGCCCAAATGTAATGTTGTCATATTTTGTTCCATAGAAGACTGCATGGGAAAGGGATGCAAAACTGATGTTTACCAGCATGACTCCAAGTGGCAGAGGCACAAAGGGACTTGTAGTTCTGCAACAGCTGGAGGGACACAGTTGCCCACCTCTTTAGGCAGTGTAATTTAGTCATAATGAGCACAGCAAAACAGAGTCAAGTCAAGTTTTTACTAACTTTATGATTACTAAAATGTATACTTCCTTCTAAGAACCAAGGTAGCTTATAACTCATCAACAGTGTGAATGTTATTCTGTGATTTGTCTCTTTTATTAAGTCAGTATGATAATACTCCTACTACATAGTTTGTTGAAGTTATTTACAAACAAAATACTTTTTTTAATGTTGTGTACTTCCGTAATGCAGTGCTACACAACCTGGTGAAAAAAGGTTTACAGCCTTCATTAATACAGGAGCCATTGCCATTGCTCACATCCACAGAGCTGGACTGGACTGTCAAACTGACAACCCAGCCTTGCAAATTACACCATGAAAATTGCCTTTCTTGTGTAATCTGCAGGATCTGGCTGTCAGTTTGTTGGTTTGGCACAGGGTTCCCATGAATGCTGGCAGAAGCAGGAGAGGCTTCCTACCTTGGTGCACCCCTTCTTTCCACAGCACTCCAGCAGAAGATTTTCCTACCTCTATCTCAGCCTTACCCTGTCTGCACACAGCTTTTTTTTCTTTATAAAGCTGTTCTGGAGCACAACGAGGAACTCCTGAACCTGGGCAGGTGCCATATGTGAAAAGCTTTGGCCACCTCACATGTTATAATATAATGTCACACCTTTCATTAAGTCACTTCATATTACATTGTGGGATGTGGAGGAGAGGGCAAGTTGGTATTTACATATGGTATGTGGCTTGGCTCCTGGGATTATAGGGTACACATGTATATATTTTTGTGAAGGTTAGAAAGGTGCTGGATGTACTTTTGGATGGTGCCTAATATTAAACAATCATGTTTGTTAGACCACTTTTTCTTATTGACAAATTTGCTTTACATTGAAATATTTCTTTTTAAAACACAGTTTGCCAGTTTTGTCAATTTTTCAGAAGGCCTTATAATAAAAGAGCATTGTTGTTTTCATTACTTTTACACCGTTATAATGTATGTCACAAATTTAATGTATGCACACATTCCTTTTGTCAGTCTTGTTTAAATTCATAATAAATTTTGTACAAATAAAAGTTATCTTACAAAAAATGTTGTTGCCTGTCTGTTTTTCCTTGTATGAGTGTGCAGTACTGAAAAGCTATCACTTAGAGAAGAGCTAAAATAAAATCCCCATTCATCCTTTTTTCTTGTCTTTTTTTTCAAGCCCCCGGAGCAGTACCCAAAAACAAAACATCAAAAGTGAACCAAAAAGTGTATGAGAGAACACACAGAAACGTGCACCTAGAGTGTATCACATGGTCCCTTCACAAAGAGGAAGCACCCTTCCCTAACCTCTGGGGTTGCAAGACTCCCTGGCAGTGGCAAAGTATATTCAAGTCCACCTAACCAAAAAGTCCAGCAGACTCCTCTCCTCATGATGAGCTTAAGCCGACCACCAAGAACTTCGTGAGGGGCTCTCCCAAAGAGAAACTTCCTAAAGCAGAGGGGAAAGGAAACTGAGCCCACATATCCTCCTCCTAGACTTAAGGGTAGGCCCAAAGACCCATACCCCACCATCAATCATTCAGAGCACCCCCAGGCCACCACTGTCAGGAGGTGCTTACCACTGCAGGCTCTCTGCCTTCCCACCCACTGGCCAGACCAGGTAGCACCATTCGATTTAGAAGGCACTGGGCCCCTTGGAACCCTCCACACCAGGAAAATATTCCCAACCCCCACCTTATCCAGTGGGCACTTAATTTGCTTTCTCCCATCATACCAGAATGAATATTATAGAGCTGGCCATCACAGCCAAAAAAGATAAATGATGGCTGAGAACTCCTACTGGACACTGATAAGAAAGATACTCCACATGATCTTAACAATTCCAGTGCTACATAATAAGAATACCTTGTTTGTGTAGTATCAGCAAAACATTGGACAGCTATGTAGGGACCCTGTCACCAAGTATTTAAAATGCTTACAGGCAGTTTATCTATTTCCAAATTTGTTTTTAGTTACTTGCAATGTCTCTGACGTTACTAAAAAATTGGACTACTTCAGGAGAATCAATTCCGAAGCACATCCACTTGCCTCCTCCTCAGTCTTATGGTTTTGGATGTCTACACACGGGAGGGTTTTACAATTTAAAAAAAATGTATTTTTGTTGAAAGAACTGGTCTGCTGACAGGGTCTCTCTACTGTGTTGGAACTGTGGTATGCTGGAGTGGGACAACAAAATAATTGAAAAATAATAAAAAATATACTATTCAAAATGGTACAGTAAACCGCATCATTAATGTACCTAGTAGCTGTAATTAAAGTATACCTAAAGATAAAACCTTTTTTTCAGTTTTGGAAAGAAAGGGGAAAAGGGTAGAAACCGTGTATTGGTTTTACTGCTGTCTGTATTCCCCTTAGAGACTAAAGAGGATACTGTACCGTGGAGGGGGGGGGGGGGGGGATAGGCTTCTTGGTTACTTTTCTCATCCCAACTTTAGAGATATAAGACCTATTCTGTATCATATATAACAGATAGAATTTTATTCAATGAATGCAAAAAATAGTTTTTCTATCAGCAACTAATGCTTAAGGAAATAAAAGACATAGGTGTGAAAATACAGTAATAAATTCATTTTGACATATTTAATGAGACAAAAAATGCATTGTGAACTCATGAATCTCCAGGGAATTGAAAATTCCATAGATTATGTACAGCTTTCCACTGAGATGAACACCAAAACACACAAATGAATTACAAACATTGCATAAAAATATAACTTCACAGTTTCTGATTGTTGCTAAAGGTAATTTGGTTTATATTCCAAAGCTTCAATAAAAATTGAAATGATTATGTCCTCTTTTGATGATGAATCTTCACACACAGTATTTCCAAAAACAAGCTGTCAGAAAGAAGAAAAAAAATTAATGAATGAATACAATACTGCACAAAAAAGCAGAGATTTGAACCATGAAAACATAAATGCACATATTCATGGGGGGCCTAAAAAAATGTAGGAAATGCCAGGAAAAAATCTGCTCATTGTTAGGTGTGGGTAAATAAGACTGCTTAAAGGAGAAGTTCACATTTAAACATAAATAAATAATAAATGCACATATTTTTGCAGGGAAAATGTGCAGTTATTTTTTTTTCACAGAAGCTTGCAAAGCATTGCAACTGCAATCAGTGGATTGCGGGTGTAATGCCAGGCTTTTGCACACACTGCCTGCAGCTCTGTTGTCCATGCTCCTGTACGGCTTTCTGTTACCAAACTGTAGGCAGTGTGAATGGACTATGAGAGTGCTGAGCAGCAAGCTTGCTGAGAACAACAACCCATCTGCTACTGGGGTAGATGGGACTTGTAGTTCTCTCGTTCACAGATTCCTGTCAATGTATGATCCATCAACCAAGCTGTTTTTAAAATGTGATAGTGGGTGAGAGGGGAAGATCCCCCACCTGCTATCGGGGGGGGGGGGGGGCAGAGTCCAGTATGCAGGGGACAGGTCTGGAGCATGTTACATCCTAAATACGGTGATAATGCGTTATGCGTAACATGCCCAAAAAGGTGATCTTAGCCTTTAAAGCTGGCTCAGAAATAGCCAGAATCACTCTAAAATGAGAAATTAATTTCCACTCATCTTAGTAAAAAAGGTGAATTTGTATTCACTTTGAGTGCCCAATCATGCACAAGAGAACTAAAAACCAGGACTTTTGACTGCACATAGTTGAATGATTGAAGTAAATACAGTATCCTATTACTTACTAAGCTAAGTGAACATCAACTTTGCAAAGTGAACAGTCCCTACCACAAGAAGTAGAGAGTTAGTCATGTGCAAGCAAAAATATTTTCTTTTATTATTTTATTCCTATTTTATTTTTGCACACGATTGGGTATTCAAAGTGGCCATTGTTTCACCTTATTTAAAGTGTATTTCCACTCAATCCAATTCCATTCACATAGCGTAACTTTAAGAAATTATTATTTTGAGATTTCAGTTTACCTATTTAGATGCTCTATTCCAGACCTCAGCAAGGAAAAATAATAGCTAGATTTCTTTGTTTATTAAGGGGCTGGCAGCTGTGTTTTCCATTTGTTGCCTTTTCTGTACTGTGCAGCCATACCTTCATTATCAACTGTAACTAGATTTAAACACTGTCTGTCCTAACAAAGGGTTAAAGGGTGTGTTGGCTGGTCTTTTTGCTTTGTATGTTAATGTGGACAGACTTGGGACAGGCTCAATCTAACATTCTTCAAAGAAACCTTTAGTCAATTTGAGAAAAATCTAAAAGGTAATAAATATTTTGAAAAATAATGTTTAGGCATGAATGGAAACACATAACAAACATATTCTGAAATATGTATTACGTTACAGCCCATAGACATTACAGGTACAACACTGAATATCATAAAAAAATATACAATCTTTATAACTGCACAATTAAAAATTGATTAAAATCACATTTGAAATTAAGCATGGTAGCATCCTGCACCCTTATGTCGGTTATGGAGATGGTATGCCACAAGAGCCAGCCCGGATCCCCACAAACCAAAAGGAATGAGTTCAAATATACATCCAGAATAGGGGCGATGTATATCTGAATTAATTCACTTTGGTTTGTGGGTATCTGGGCTGGCTCTTGAGGCATACCACCCCTGGGATCCTTTGCTGCTGGCGCTCCATGTAGCAGTACAATTTTTGCACCTTCTGCTCCTGAGGAAGTGAAACACACAAAACATGTCGAGCTTTATGTGAATGGATGGTGGCAACCCCAAGATATTTATACTTGTGCTAGTCACTTGCATAGTGTGCCTTTACTACAGTGTGGGGCCACCTCCATAACAGACATAAGCTTGCAGGATGCTACCATTGATACGATATACGATATACTATGATATTCAGTGTTGTGACCATAAATTCCATGGGCTGCGGTGCAATACATGTTTCTCAAGTTGAATTGATTTAGGGACGGGACACTTTGGTATCTGTTAGGGTATTGGGCATTATTTTTCTTTCCACCCGCCTTTGTATTGTTCCCATTTAATTAATTCACTGTAAATATTCTGAAATATGACTGCCAAAGTGGAAATGCATTTTAAGTTATCATTCTCTACTTTTTCAGTAAATCATTCCTAATTAATTTAGTATAATATCACCTACCTCGTTTGTTGTGGTGTGATGGTGCCAGCCTATCCATGGTGTAGCTCATATCTCCACTTTTATCTTCCAGAAGTTGTTCCTTAAGTTTTTCCAGCTGAGTCAAGAAAACATTGCTCCAGCTTTATTCATGTGTGTTATATCTGTTTTGTGTCATTTTACTTTTTGCAATTAACAAATAAAAAGTAAAATTTTTGTCACATGAAGTCATAAGTTATTCTTATTGAAGATAGGAAACCAATTTCAAGGGGATTGCCTCTATTAATGTAGCAGTAAAGGGAGAAAACATCCCTAGTACCTTATAATAGAGGCAAAATGTCAAGTGTCCTTCAAAGATATGTTGACTGTAGCCATTGGATAAAAATATTTTTTTTTAAATAGATTTACATCATTGCTGTATTTAAAGAACACCTGTATTGTAAGAATTGTGTAAAGTGCCATTTCTACCATATCCTTCATAAAAAAACCTGAATGAAGGTGTAGGAATTCAGACTAATTTAACAGAAATCAGAACTTTTAAAAAACAAATGTTTCACTTGGCACTTAGTTCTATAGACAGCAAAGAAATCTAATTGAATCTGCAAACTGGAAACTACACTAATTTATACTTTTTTACATTCATGTTGCCATTGCTTAATTATCAGCAGCAGAATAGATGTGGCTTTGATACCTTTTTTTAATTAATCAAAACTAAACCAGATGCTTTCTCTGTGAACCTGCTCAGCATTATTCAACAAGACTATGCCCATAGTAAATCTGTGGTAACATTAGCCTGGACCCTAAGAGAAAAACAGAAAGATTGTATTTTTCTAAGAAACTGGTGCATGTCTAAGCACCATTCCTGGTAGTACATCGATAAACCTCATAATATCTTCTTGTTCAACATTCTTTAAATTTAGCTGTTCCTGAAAGAACAGGTATACTTCAATAGTATTAATTTAATGCTTTATATATATTCAGTGCACATGTGTATGGTAATAAAAGAAACTTGAAAAAATGAGAACACATACCTGTTCCAGTTGCTCTAGCTTGCTCTCCAGCTCCATCTCTGTAAAATTACACAATAATAGTTGTCAGATATAATGGACAGTGGCTTAAAATTCCATTAGCATCAAAAACAGGTATACTTGTCCTTGTAGCTACCACATAACATCCAGATACTTACGTCTCTCCTGGAACAGGGTCACTCTAGAGTTTCTGCATCCTCTGGCCACTTCCACTTTCCCGTTAGCCACAGCAGAGGACCAAATCCATGTGAGGCAAATGTGAAGCCGCCTCTTCCTGAACAGCTAATTATAGCCTCTGTCTTACACAGGACCTGCCCCATGGGCAGCTAACACAAGAGAGGTTGGGACGGTTGCCATTTTTTTTGTAGTTAACACATGAAAGTGGACATAAGGCAGAGATCAAAGGACTTCTGACAGACCCCTCTCCAGAAGAGATGTAAGTACTGGGGGAAGGAGTTAACGAACCTCAAAAGTTTCACTTTAATAGTCATCAGTGTGGCTTAGCAGAGCTGGGGGTCCTGTTTCAGTACCCTTTAAAGACACTTCAATAAAACATTTACAATAATTTTTTGGCAGTATTGGCCTATTAAAAAGTCCTGTACCTAATTCATGAAAACCTTGGGACAGGTTCCTTAACAGTTCCAACATGCACAACAGATCCAGGTCACTATGGGTGGGAAAAATTGTAAAAAAAAAAATAAAACCAGTTCATAGACAATGAAACTTGAGGCAATTAAGACCAATTCTAAGTTGTACAGAGACAGGCCAAAGTGTTGTGTTTTAACTTTATTATTGTGTTCTGTATTTGCTTCTTTGGTTACTAGGAGGCAGGCTGCCTGCATCCTAGCAACCAATAATGCTGGGCTGAATTTAGACAGAGGGTGGAGCCTAATGGGGATGCTAAGAAAATAGTTTCCCATCAGGTCCACCTGCCTTGTGATTGACAGCTGACAGCAGTGAGTGGATTCATAGCCTTTACACTACCAGTTAGGGCTACAGAATCCACCCATTGCCATCTGATGTCAAACACAAGGCAGGTGGACCTGATGGGACACAAGTCTCTCAGAGTTCCCCATCAAGTTGGCCTCCATTTTAATTGGTAGCAATGGACAAATCCCATAGCAGCTATGGAATCTGTCTACTGCCATTTACTGTCAATCACAAAGGGAGGGAGACCTAATGGAGAACTAGTCTCTCAAAGTTCCAAAATACTTGATAGGTTATTCGGTTTCTGTCAAAATTACCCCAATGACATGGACTAAAGTGAATAATTCCTGTTAACATGAATTCACTACGGAATATAGTGACACTAATAAAATATATAAATAAATCAAATGAATATATTAATAAAAACAATATGGTTTACTTACAGCTTACTATCTATCTAATAACCACATACAGTTTTATCCAAATCAATCCAACATCACTAATGATTTTTCAGTGAAGCTGCAAGGTGTACACCTAAAATGTAGTAATTTAATGTGCAGAATGGAACTTCAGTTAATACTATGGGGGGTACAAAGTCCAAACTGATTCACAAATTCAGACAAAAAAAGCAGAAAAGCCATTTCCCCCACTCGTTCACTAGGTTGTAAAACAAAACTTTTTCCATAAGCCACATCCCCAGTATTATACAATTTTAAGTTTTAAATGACCCACACTACTAAGGTGGCTTATTTAGGTATCTTACATACTAAGGTGCAAGGGCGGACTGACCATTCGGAAACGTGGGCACTGCCCGAGGGCCCGGGGTCAGTAAGGGGCCCAATGAGATGCCCTTGGTACCTTTCATAGGCTTTTTTGGGCATGGTTTGAGTGTGGGCAAGGACACAGGGGGCCCATGATCCCCTATTGCTCGGGGGCCCCATGAGTTGTCAGTCCGCACCTGCTAAGGTATCCTCTTATCAGGCAGTGGTAAATGACCGCTGCTCAGTTCTCCGGCATTCTCAGAGAACACAGTTCTCCTGTGAATGCCTTTTATGAAGCGGTGTAGATCAGTTCTCCGAATGAAGGGAGAACGATCTATAAACGCTGGAAAACAGTTGCTTTTACTATAATCTCGCGAGATTGCAGTAAGAGATCAGTCAAACACCGTTTAATAAGCAGAGCTAAATTATCGCTGCTTCGTTTTGCAGTTCCTCCAATTCTCCAGCTTGGGCTGGAGAATCTGGAGGGAGAACACAGATTGCCAGTGAAGGGCTGACATCGCTCCTTCATATACTGGCCATCTTTGTGCTGAGATGATCAGCGGAGAACATGTTCTTCACTGATCATCTCTGTTTCCTAAACCACAAATGATCGGAGATCAGCAATGATCCTCAGGATCGCCGCTGATCTGTTTCATGAAAGGACACCTATTTTTTAATTTCTTTACAGTATTTTTAAAATTGTTATTGACACTGTGTAGGCCTCATTATGTAAACTTAATTGTAGACACAAAGCTTCTTACCAAAATGTGAAGGTCTTCTCATTGGAAGGTGTTTGTTGAGGAGAAGTGTCAATAGCATATCCTGGTGATTCATATCTTCTTTCTCTGGAAACAGTTCATTATCTATGAACATACAAAGGTATGGTATACTGGGACACATTTTAATGACATTATCTTTGTGGCATACAGTAAGGTGGCACACAGAATAAGGTGGTATACAGACCAAGAAGGATGTGCAGTATAAATATCAATAAATAGGAAGGTAGATACTCAACATTTAAATAAGTAAAAAAAAGTAGATACTCACTGTTTTATTTTGATGGCTATGTTTTTTTCATTTACAGTACATATCTAATAATGTATTTGTCTAAAGATGGCATTTTGTAATAAGCAATAAGAATGCACAAAGAGCATTTACCCATAGTAGTCTGAGCTGGGATCACTGCAATCCTTTCGGGGTATGGTTTATGTTTGGTAGCTATGGGTCACTACACATTGCACATCTTATTGCTCTGTGTACTTTCTTACTGGAAAACAAATCTGTTAGTGGTATTTACAGTATGTTATTTTTACACAGATGTAAAATTGTGTAATTTATTAAAGATATGCTGCAGTGAAAATATATGTTCTGATTTTACACAGTATAATACATGCTCTGTGATTTACCAGCTGAACATTGCTTTTTTCTATATAGGAATGCAAATATTCAGTACTTTTGGAATCTTCTTACAAAATGTATGGGGTTTTCCTCTCAATATGAGTGCTTTGCAAAGGGTACAGAGATCACAAAGCCTGTGCATATGCACGTACAATTTTTTTTAAGGCTAATTTAATAAACAGCTATTGACTATCTAATTAAATTGCAAGCTCTTCTTTGAAAAGGATTAGCTTCAATGAAAAATCATTCCTTGTAAATGTCTTTACTAGATGTCTTTACAAAACACTGTTAACATAGAAAGAAAAGACAATAAAATTGCTACTTCTATGATTACAACTAATAACCAAAACAACAGCTGCAACAACTACTTGTTTCACAATGGATACTTTCCTGAATGACAACTGTTGCCAAATTTCTGCACACAGGATGACATGTTCAAATCCCAATTTAGCATGTGTCCTGCATGTGGCTGTTTACAATAACTACAGTTTATAAAGTAGTTTTTCTTGCAATATTATGCAAATACTTGTCTTACAGTATTACTTCTAGCTGAGCCTAGACTCATTCCAAAATTAGCATTTCTACTGCAGAGAAGTTACAGATGCATATACTGCAATTGTGTTGTGTTTTTAAGGTACAATAATAATATCTAAATAGTAAAATGTTTTAAATGATCAGTCAATTCCCCTTAGAAAGGGGTAGAAGTCAAATTGGGGGTTATTTACTAAAACCGGAGAGTGCAAAATCTGGTGCACCACTGCACAGAAACCAATCAGCTTCCAGGATTTATTGCCAAAGCTTAATTGAATGAAAAGGTTTCTTCACAGTAAGAGCTGTGAAAATGTGGAATAGACTCCTCAAGAGTTGGTTCTGACCAGCTCAGTGTATTGCTTTAAAAAAGACCTGGATTCTTTCTTGGATACACAGAATATAACTGGATACTAACATTATAAGTAAAGTTGATCCAGGGAATATCCAACTGCCTCTTGGGGGATAAGGAAGATTTTTGTTTCCCTGCTGGAGCAAATTGATTCATGTTTTGCTGAGTTTTTTGCCTTCCTCTGGATCAACTGTGGGTATAGGATTATAACTTTTTCTTTTTTTTTATGGTTGAACTGGACTTTGGACTTTTGTCTTTTTTTCAGTCAGACTAACTATGTAACTATGAACAAGCTAAGGTTAGAAGCCCATTGCTTTCTCTGGAGAAGTGATCCTGATGTTGCCCTCTCCATCTTTAGTAAATAAGACATTCCAACATTGCTTTACTAAGTATTGTTAGCAGTCAGATTCAAACTTTTTTCAGCGAAGGGTAAGTTCTAAAGGCATGCATAACTGGTGGGTATATAATATAATATCATTCATACTCATATTTCTAAAACAAATAAGAAACTGTTTTTAACACAATATGTTATGATAGATATCAGTGTTTGGTTGTAAATTAAGTTTTTTTTCGAAACAGAGACCAGTCACTAGTGGTGTACCACAAGGCTCTGTACTAGGTCCTGTTCTTGTTAATCTGTTTGCGGGTAATAAAACTAAAGCTTTGGTGGGAAAGGTATGTCTTATTGTGGATGACACAAATATATGAAAAGGGTGATATCCCTGGAGTTATCTGTAACATGGCATTACTAGAACATTGGTCAATGCAGTGGAAACTGCAGTTCAGTGTTTCTAATTGTAAAATAATGCACCTAGGGAAAAATAATCGATTAATACAGTTTAGAGGTACGGTGTTGGACAGAGGAAAATGATTTGGGAGTACTTATTTCAGATGTGTGTGGCCAGGCAGTGGGAAAAGTGAAAAGAACTCTAAGATGCATCTCTAGAGGGGTCATTAGCACTTTCATTAGACCTTCTTTAGAATACTATGACCATTCTGGAGACCTCATTTACAAAAAGCAAGTGTACAATACAATGCACATGTTCCTGCATTGAATGATAGCGGTGTATATGAATGGGTGCTAGCGATCGTTGGTTGGAACTGAACAAAATCAACAAGGGAGAATGTCACCACAACACTGAGGATCTCCAATATGCTATTAAAAACTTTAATGAATGATCACATAGTTACAGCAAGGCAATGTTTCAGTGTCTCACAGGACCCCCTTATCAGGCACATGCCTGATGAAGAGGTCCTGTGAGACTCCGAAATGTTGCCTTGCTGTAACTATGTGATCATGCATTAAAGCTTTTGGACCCGTATTGGAGATCCTCAGTGTGCTGGTGACATTCTCCCTCCACTTACAAAAAGACATTGATAAGATAGAACAAGTCCAGAGACAGGCAACAAAAATGGTCTGAGGGATAAAATAAACCAGGAGAGACTTCAGGAACTTAGGTACAGTCTGGAGGCAAGAAAGAAATGGGAATAGTTAAATACATTAGGGGTGTAAATAAGGTTAATGAGGGCAGTATTTTCCATATGAAGCAATGATCAGGAACACATGGACATCACTTCATACTAGCAGGAGGAAAGTTCAACATTAATCTTAGAACATATATGTTTTAGCAAAAGAGTAGTTGATGCATTAAATAGACTTCCAGCAGAGGTAGTGAGTCAGTTTCAGTAAATTGACTCAAACGTGCTATGAACAAACATAGATGTATACTCAGACCAAAAATTATAAAAATTGTAATATATACATATATATATATATATATTTATTTTAAAAATGAAATAAATAATAAAAAAGGGGGCAGATTCAATGGACCACTTGGTCTTTTTTCATTTGTCACTCATTTATGTTTATATCAGGTGTCTAGAAATCTTAGTTGTTTTTGCTGAATGAAGTAGCGTGCACCTGATTTCCTATTTCTAGGCTGAAAGAGTATTCAGTTTTATCAATTATGGAATAGGCGCTGATATATTTTACATTATTAATTATTAATGTAAACATGTCATTGTTCTTTTACATAGTGCTAACCTTTACAATATTTCATTTCTGATTTAATATGTTTTGTAGCCCCTCTGGCTAAATTATACATCATAAAGAGTGTATATCATGACTGCCTAAATGTCCAACCAGAGGTTAGGAAATGAGCCTGCTTTAAAATGACTACAAGACTTATCTAAAATGGGTCATGTTTTTAAAGTGAGTACATTCTTGAAAGACTGAAAAACAGATACCCAGAAAACATGATATTTATTGGACCTAGACTTAAGAAAAATTAAGTTTTAAATAATATTGTCTCAAACAGATATTAGGTAAAGGCACTTTCAGCAGTGAAGAAAAAAACTGCAGTAAATAAAACATTATATTATATATATATATATATATATATATATATATATACAGTATATGTCATTATAATAATTTCCCTAAGTGTTAGAGTTTCCTCAGCGATAGTGTGGAATATATTACAGTTAAATAAGTATTAATGGTAGATTCATTTGCTTTTATCTTAAGTGCAAGTAACCCAGAGCAACACATTAGAACTCATCTTGTGCTGTTCTGATGTCAACAGTGTAAATTTTGCTTGGTTTCCCTGGTATGCACTACTTAAATATTGGCATTTAACAAGTCTTCACTGAATATTTTTCTAGGTATATTGCTCTTTGAAATACTTTTTGCTACATTAGCATACACTTGTACACATATGCATACATTTAAAATAACATTAGGATTCTCAATGTATGAAACACTGATGGTGCACAACATTAAACTGTGTTGTATGTCCACTTACCTTGCAATATATAAGGCTTTCCTTGAGTTGAATGAGCAGAAATCATGACCAAGAAAGTTAACGTCCCAAGGCACAGATGAACGGAAGTGGTTTTATCCATCATATTGCTCCTCAGGTTGATGGAACTGTGCCGAGTACCTGGGATTTGAATGTGTTTCTCCCAGGTTGAGCTGGCTTTTAAATAGTCCCCTGACATGTCACTGTGTCATATTCCAAAAACTTCCAATGAAAATCAGTCATCCTGTCAATGGTATACAATTCTTGGAAAACTGACAAATGAACTGCGTGAATTTCTTGACGTCAAACCTAGATCAATCCATCCTCAACATGACCAATAAAATGAGTGCTGGAATACACATTTTAAATACAAAGAAGGTCTAGTGGCAGGCTCATGGTAATTTATTGTTGCATTTCAATGCTCTCATTTTAATTATGCTGAGATGTTTATAGTGAGTGCCATGATGAAGGCTCAGGAATCACTAATTGAATTGATTTTAGGACTTGGATCTTTACAGTGACATTTGTGGCTCATGATGAGATGAGATGATGCTATGGGGTAAGTAAACAGAGAAAGATGATAAAGCAAGGACTGCAGAAGACTGAAGACAAATATGAAATTCATCAATGAGACATAGCAGGTCTTCAAAGATGTCAGGAGAAGTTGTAATACATTGTGTATCTTAAGAGAACACAAGGCAGAAATTGACCAGTGGTTTGATTAAGTTTAGATGAATGGATGTCCTCCACTGCTGATGACTTCAGGTGTGACTGTTCTTCCCTTTGATTTTCTACAACTATTCATCAAAGTCACATTTCTCATTTTCTTTTCCAAGTTCTGCAATTTGGAGGAAGATGACAATCCTTTGTCTGAATTAGAAAAACTGGAAGACTTCCAGTGTGCATCTTAAAATGATTTATGTTAAAATTGTCCGTTTTTTAATAGGTAATTAGTAGGTGTGATCTCTTTTGAAGTTTATATTTGATTTTGAGACAGTATAAGCTTTTCAGTTTTTTGGTTCCCAAGCTTTACAGAAGCCAGGAGGGTGAACTCAAAACAGCTGCATGCAAAATGGCCTTGTTTGTGGTATAAGCTTGGCATACACATCCAGTTACAGGGAGGGGCGGACTGACAACTGATGGGGCCCCTGGGCAATAGGAAATCATGGGGCCCCTGTGTCCTCTCCCACACTCAAACCACACCCAAAAAAGCCTATGAAAGGTACCAGGGGCATCTCATGGGGCCCCTCTACCGACCCTGAGCCCTAGGGCACTGCTTGAGTGACTAAATGGTCAGTCCGCTCCTGGTTACAGGGTCATCAGGCAATGATTTGCATGTACCTCCATCCCCCACTGAACTACAGTAGTAAGAAATAAAGCTCTTATTTTTATGGATTTGTGATGCCAATGAAGATATGCAACTAATACATTTTTAAGCAGGCAATATTGTACTTCAATGCATAATTTCAGGTTCAGTTACTACTGGACTGAACAGTTTCACATGCAAAGAAACAAAAGTTATTATTTTAGGTGATAGGTAGTTTCCTATTTCTGGGCCTTTTTTTTGTAAAAGATAAACTGTATTCAGTAGACTTCCATTTAAGAGTGACAACATACAGATGATGTTTTGAAAGTGTAAAAACCAGTAATATTGTCACTCCACTTCAATAATTGTCTTGTGCTTTTGCTATGTCACCTAGACAATCCTTCGGTGCAGGAAATGTGTTGAAAGACTTTCCCATTCATGAGAACTGGAAATTCTTCTGTCACCATTTCTACACAGAAAAAAGCTAGCATTAAAGTAAACAGATCAGCCTAGGATTTGAGCAGTTTTATCAATGATACGGACTCATGCACACTGGATGTTTTCACAGCTGCTCTTAGGGGTGCAGGTGTGTTTTGTTTTATTTTACTGCCTCTAAACCCCCCTGCACATTATCCTATGTCTTTATGGATTTTAGCAGTGTTTTGTGGCAGGAGAGTTTAGTGGCAGAAAAAATAACACTGCCAAGGTGCCCTGGATCAGCAGCTTTTTGGCTACAAAAATGCTTGACTTGCTTAAACACATCTAAATGCATCTAAATGTGTGTTAAAGCTAGGCACTCAGGGCATCCTGGAGCAGCAGAGTTTTGGCTGAAAAAACACTTGATGTGCTTAAACACATCTAAATGCGTCTAAACGCGTGTTAAAGCTAGGCGTGTTTAGCACTTGAGTGTTAATTTATTTCAATGGCCAGAATAATTATTTTTTTCTGCCCAATTAAATTAATTAATGCCCAAACACTTGATGTGGGTAAACACGTTTAGACACAGAACACAATTTTACAAGCCTTTTTTTTGGCCAAAATGCTCCTGGCTTCCAGAGGAGTTAAAAATCATTGTTAGTGTGCATGAGTCCTACATAGCAATACCGACCACAGTATAGCCAAATGTACCATAAATACCCACTGAACTTAAAAATAATTGATACTATAAGGTGATAAAAAACATTATAAACTAAATCAATCAGTGGAAAAATAAAAATGCATAAACACCTCTCTTATATACCAATATATTATTGCCTCTTAATAGATCTGTGATAAAAAATAACAAATATAAAATCCATGATAAATACTCAGATATCAGTGATAGAAACGATTATGAAAAATGTGACAAATCGTGATAATTGTGACAAACCTAAAAATCAAAAAATAGTGGTTCTGCAATAAATTATATAATACATATAACTTGTGATAAACCCTATAACAAAATAAAATAACCCACAACCCCCAACCAGCAAAACCACAAATGCCAAACAAAACTCACAACTTCATAAAACCTCGACCCACACAGGGCCACAAGGCAAAAGACTCTCCTTAAAGGCAATCCTTTCCTCCAAACAACTCAGCCAGGGACCTCAGGACTTCCACTCCACCTCCTCAAAAAACCATAACACAAAAACAAAACTGCTGTCCGGACAAAACGTCCCACGTGACCGGAAGTGACGTAATATCATACTGGGAATGGCGTTCCGACGCGTTGCGTCACGTGCGTCGTGACTTCATCAGGGTACCGCCCCCCAGAGCCATGATTCATTTATATATGGGATAGACAACCCACTAAACCTAATTAGAGGGCGGACTCCCGGCGGCCATTTTACCGGAGTCCGCACTACTATCCTCATTACTAGAAGACATCCTATTACAGCACTCGATCCGCGCTATAAATAGGAGCCATCCACTTCCATCATATATATAGCATAATCCTATTAACACTCCCCTTAAAAAACATATATAAACAATACAACTATTTATTAATATTAAAACCCACATAATACCCCACTTTATTATTAATATATATATACTAATAAAGGGCAGAGGAAAAAAATCTTTTGGTAAAAAAGACCCAGCAATACTTTACATAAATATAAATACAGATACTCAAATCTGATAAAATTAATACCTCTAATAAAAAAATTGTATAAAAGGTATATATATACATATATACCTATAGGATATAAAATGAAAGAATTTTGTAAAAAAAAATATATATAGACCATACAATTTAATTTTATCTAATAAGATTCAAAAAATTTAAAATTAAAATTAAAAATTTAAAAACATTACTCAGAACCCTAACTGAATTACTCTACATCATTCCCAAAAAAAACTAGGAGAACCTATTTATTTAAATAAATCCCATGAATTAAAATCAAATGGATATATGGTTAATTGAGTCACACATCGCCTCGCCCAATCCGACCATTTACCTATAATTGAAAAACAATACCCAAACAAATTCCTAATACATCATGTGAATAAACCCATGATCCAAGTATACAAAATACGTAGCATATATCCTAAATCAATCTCTACAATATAACTAAAAATATATTAAAATATATTAAAAACAATTGTATATATAAATGCACAGTCTAAAACCAAATTAAAAGTCACTAATAAAACAATTTAGATCAAATTCCACATTTAATCCATACGGTGCCTGCGTACGCATAGTGTAGATCGATCGGGACTCGGCTTGACTTAAAGATTTAACCTTACTACCACCCCTCCAATGTTTGGTATATTTCTGAATCCCCCAAAATTTTAAACCTGACGGATCCCTACTATGTTGTTTCAGGAAGTGTTTGGACACACTGTGTTTTGGGAAACCATTTTTTATGTTTTGGACATGTTCCCTAATACGTTTCCAGAGTGGTCTCTTCGTCCTTCCTATATACTGCAAGCCGCAATCACATTCTAAACCATAAACAACACCTTCTGTACGGCACGAGATAAAATCCTTGATCTTAAATTCAGTGCCGTCAATATTGCATTTAAACATTTTCCGTTTACTGTTTTTCCCTTTAGTTTCCCTACACGCATAACACTGTTTGCATGGGAAAAAACCAGATTGGTCAAGGAACGTGACTTTCTTTTTTCCATCTGGTGGGTCCAGCACACTTTTTGCCAACTTCATTTTTATATTTCAATGGTTTTTATTAATTTTAAACAGTATAAAACAGAGGCAACAAAACACGCCCACGCAGGGGCTATCAATTGCACTGATAAAAAAGGCAAAATAGAGTAGACAACACTCTAATTCCAGTAAAGCAAAACGTATGCCCACGCAGGGGCTATCAATGGCACATAGGTTACAATAATATCAGTGAGACTCTGACTATCGCAACTAAAGACAGCTGTCCACTGTCACATCAAAACAAACAGAAAAGGAGAGAAGAAGAGCAGAGAAGAAAGGAGAGAAAGAGAAAAAAAAAAAAACACCAAAGAGCAGGGGTCCACAAGCGCCAATATCAAACTCCATTACCTCCCCACACTGGCCGGGGGGAGCGTGGGAAAGGCGTATTGCAACCACGGTTCCCCATATTTTCAAAAAATTTATGTTGAGAGTCGTTGCATATACTCGACATCTGTTCGTTGAGCATCATAGTAGTCATACGATCACGCACCCCCTGGAAAAGTACAAACGGACTCTTCCAGGCCTGAGCAATTGTCCTAGTGGCCGATAAAAAACAAATAGGAAGCCAACCGCTGCTGACGAGCCAAGAGGCCTGGTATGGGGCAATGAAGCAAAGCATACCGAGCGTCCCGGCGTATGGAGAGATGGAACAAAGTGAAGAGGAGGCCAAACACACAGAGACCAAAAACGAACCAACCTGGGGCATGAC